TACTGTATGGTTTGTCATCATTATAGCAGAAATGGTCTTAACTCTCACACAGTGTTCTCTATGGCAAGGACAATCTGTCTGTTTCTGTTTTGCAGACCTGATTAAATTATATTCCTGCAATTCTGGCAAGAAAACCAATAAAAATAGTTATTTTACTCTCTCCAATATCTTTTTAACACCTAAGTATCAAAGTGTTGGAAGACTGTATAGATGATGGAGTGTTTTGAAATGTAAACACTGTGGAAATACCGACTATAGTCGTTGTTTCTGTCTAACGGTATCTTCCCATTTCTGAAATAACATTAGGTAGACATACTGAGTCTCAGTACATCTTTGTCTTTGGGCTTTATGGAGTAACTGTTTGCCATGCAAGTTTTTCTATGCTATTTTTGATCTACTGAGTAATTGGTTTAAAACTCGCATATTCTGCCTGAGCATCTTTCAGTTAAGTGTTGGACAACATTAATTCTTTATCATTTGTGGGTGTCACATCTTAAACTATATTCTGGTCGTCTTTACTATCCCGTGATTCCACCTTTTCACAATGTTTACATTATTCATGGTCTTTGGGATAATGCATCAGGTTTTTCTTAGTAACATATATGGCAAGACATCCTGCTAAAGATATGCTCTTAAAGCTTCTAGAGTCGTCTTGCTCTCTGGCCTTTGAATTGCAACAATCCACCAGCTTCTTTAATGCTGCATGATTTATCTGAAGTGTGATCCTTTGTCCATATAGGTAATAAAAGAAATGATTTGTGGCTCGAATAACACTTAATAGATATTTTTGAGTTATACACTAACCCCCTTTTTATAGCATTCATTGACTTGTTATACTAGGCAATCACCTATTTTTTTCCATATTATACTTGTGATAGCAGTCCCTACTACAAAATCACTGGCATCTGTATGTAAAATGAGCGGATTTTCAAGAGTTGGTAATGCTAATACATGTGTAGTGGTTAACTATTTCTTCAGTTTATGAAATGCTTGTTCACAATTAGCAGTCGAATAAACTTTATTTGGTTTACAAGTAATTTGTGTAAAGAACACACTATGTCAGAGACTGGTTTTACAAAATGATGATAGTACGAGCACAGTCTACGAAATTCTCTTACCTCATTTGAGTATTTTGGTGTTGGCTAATTCTGAACAGATTCAGTCTTAGATGAGTCTGTGGAAACTTCCTCTTTGCTGACTATGTGCCCTAGGAAACTCACTCATTGATAGAGTAATTCACTCATCTTGTGATTCACCTTGAGGTTCTCTTTCCTCAACTGATCTAGAACTTTCCATGTCCAAGCATAAGCATTATTAAAAGTCTTCTCATATGCAGTTATGCCATCCAAATAGATGAGTACAACATCTCAAGATAGCCACTTCATTGATTATTGAACTGTAGCAGATGCTTTACATAATGCAAACGGTAACACAACAAACAGCTAAAATCCATTTCCTGCAGTAAAGGCTATCTTCTCTCTAATTTCTTCGTCGACCGGCACTTACCAATATCCATTCTTCAGATCAAATATTCAAAGCCATTTTCATCTAGGTAAAATATCCAAAGTATAGTCAATCCTTGGTAGTGTGGGGGGGGGGGATTCCTTCTTTGTGACTTCATTCACCTTCTAGTAGTCGATGCAGAATTTTATGGATCCAGCCTTCTTCACAAGCACAATGGACGATGGCCAAGCACACAGTTCTATCACTCCTTCTTACTTTATGGCTTCTATCTAATTGAAAGTCTCAGCCTGTTTTGAAAAAGGGATTCGTCTGGTTAACTGTTTTATTGGGGCTTCATCTGCAGTATCAATATTATGAAATATATGTTTTATTTGTTTAGCCTGAGTCTCAAGATCCACTGGAGAAGGTATCTTGACATTCAATGAGGAAGCCACATAATACTTTCCTTTGATCAGCTGTGTGACCTCCACAGATCTAGTCATGCATACAGCTAATGTAAGTGAAGTGGTAAGCTATGTTTATGTGAGGATTTGACACCAGACTTCCTACATATTGCCTCAAAAGTGGCTACTTCTGATGTTCTCTGATGTGAAAGTACTATCTATACAGATCATATTTTGCAAAGACTCATTCAGAAATGGCTCGAATTTTATGGTTTGTTGTGTTCACGGCTCTAATAATATTTTGTTCATCAGTGTTTGGTTTTTTTAATATGGTCCAGTCAATAGATATCGATATACCCCTAATACGTTCTCGTATGAGCATTTCATTTCTTGGTAGCACAATGAATGTTTTCCTTGTTGTCACTGGAAAATAAACCTCTGGTGTAGTAATTTTCACGTAATACACAGACTGTGAGGTTGTTTTAAATTACTTTAACTTTTCATCCTTGTCCCCACATAAGGACAGTTCCCAATATATATAACATTTCTCAATATCAATTACTCACTCATTATGAGACATACAAAAGTTTCCTAATTTAAGGATAATTCCCTATTTCCTCTTACCGAAACTTTATTTCTACAAGCTGATCACAACAACCCATCTTCTTTTTTGCACCTCTTGGGGCAATTTCCCATTTTTAATTTTGGTAATTAAACAACTTAAACAACTGTAACTGTAGAACAAGTGTTGATCAACGTATTACAAGACTTCTCATAAATAAACCTGTTGTTCATGTAATCTTTGGAGATTGTTTGGTTGTCTCCAGTAGAGATTGTGTGGAAGAAGAAAGGTATGCTAAGGTTCTGGACTCCCACTAGTTTATCAGCCTGTATCTGGAATCCTGATATTGACAAGTCAATCTGGAAGATAAAAGCATGTCTAAGACTACTTTTATCACAAGAGATGGCTTTTATGATTTCATTTCATGTCACTTGGTCTGTGTAACACATCAGCTACTTTAGAGCAGTCGATAGCACACTCTAGGAACTGCATTGTGAGAGGCTCCCCAATGGCACAGCGGTATGTCTGCGGACTTATACTGCTAGAAACCGGGTTTCGATACCCATGGTGGGCAGAGCACCGATAGCCCTTTGTGTAGCTTTGTGCTTAATAATAAACAACAAAAACAACAACAGCATTGTGAGAGATACCTAGTGTACAGTATCGATGCTTTGGTGTTTGGTAGCACTTTCGAGTTTGTGTTTGATAACCTGAAGATAGTACTCCAGCACATATGAAAAGTAGGTTTGAAACTAAGGAAGTGTTTACTCCTATGAACAGAGGTGGAGTTTCTCAATCACATTGTGGGGAGAGATGGAGTCTAGATGGACCCAGCTAAAGTAGTTGAGATAAGAGATTGGTCTTGACCTGCGATGAAGCAAAAACTTCACAGTTTCATTGGTTTTGTAATATATTACCAACGATTTATGGTCAACTTCTCGAAAATAGCAGCACCATTGTAGGCTCTCTAAAAAGTTTAAGTACACTTTAGATGACGCAAGGAATTGATCAGGTATTCCAAATTTTAAAATCTGTTTTATTGGATGCTCCACACTAAGGCCATGAGTTTCTCTTAGACATCAGTAAAAAGGAGTAAAAGCAGTGTTGTTGCAGATGCAGAATGGAGTAGAATCACATATGCCAGTCTAAGCTCATAGCTCCTGAATACAGATATTCTACGAAAAAGAAAGATTTGCTTGCAATGATTGTCTTTATAAAACCAGTTACTCCCTGTAGACGCCAAGTATGGCCTTTCACCATAAGAAGAAGTTCACAAGTGTCCAAAAAAGCATTTAGAATGGTTGAGATTGATGATTGCCAACATACACAAATTCGCCCAACAACAACTCGGGAAGGTAGCACGTCGAGAGAATAAGTGCTATGATCGGATAGTACAAGAACGGATGCTGCAATGTAGCGACTGATGAGTTTATGGTATATGCGGTTTGGATTCAGCTGGATTGGTCCATTGCTGATACTATGAAAAGTTGTTTCTCTGATCAGTCTAATGTATGAGTTACAGTGGAATATGAGACATGCAAAAGTATATGGAATACGTATATAAGTGGCATCCGTATGCCACAGACGATCTTTTAGTGCATTGGCATGAGCAAGAGTCTGAAAAAGAAACTGATGAGTCAGAGGAGAGACGAAGACGCAGTTTTGAGTCATCTTGACCTCCCTGACGAAAGAGAGGAAGCTGTATATATTTATATGCGGTCTTTGAAGAATTAAATAAAAGTCTTTGGAAGTAAAAGTTACTACCAGCCCCGACAAGTAGATGAAACACCGGCGTCAGCATCTTAATCGATATGGGTAGGAGTTATCATCAAAGATAGGATGATTATAAGATCGGACACCTGGTGATTGAAAAGAAATGGTGTTCTTTGCTTTCCAAGGTATCTTGTAATGCAAACTGATATGTGTGTATTGCATTGCGTGAGATCCACTTGATTATTGACAGTTAAGAGAGTTGCTGATCTGCAAAATCATGGATTGAAAAGAAATGGCATTCATTGATTTCCAAGTTATCGAGTGGTTTTAAGATAGGATGTATGTACAACAAAGCTTGGGGACGGCTTGAATGAAACTCTATTACAAACGTATAACGTTTCTTTCATTACCCATTCAAGCTGTCTCCAAACTCTGTTTTCCAAAAAGTGAGTTCCTCATAATCAAACATATATATATAATATATAAACAGGGCTAAATACAAAACACAAGAAACCCCCTGTTTAAACACCATAAAAACAAAGCAAAACTCTATAATAATAAAATACATACAGAACTAAATACTACGTAAAATCATAAGAAAGAGAAAAGAAAAACGTAAAAATCAAAATTATTATACAGAACCTGCTAGCATATAACAGTCTTGATTAGTTTTCAGTCAATAATTTGACGATCATCAGTATATGGCTCTAGTTTGAGAGGTTAACTAAGTTTTTAGTCTATTTCACATTCAACGATCAAAGTTCATTTCTGTTTTTTGCTTAACATGTTATAAATTATTGTTGATATTTGGTTTGTTTATGAGGTGGCCTAAATAATTTCATCATCACTCCAGTGTTTGCCAGAGGAGGGCGCTTTAATGATGAAAAAGCTTAAAGTTTTCGAAAAGTCACATTAAACTTGTAAAGTAACGTAGTGTAGTAATGTAAATTATAAAATAGAATTAGAATTTTCCTGTCCATTTAAATCAAATAAAAAAGAATCAAAGCAGAAGAAATACTGAAGACTATACGTTGTTGTTCAACGTATTACAGTATGCTTCCTGTTTAGTAAGTAATTTACATTCTCATGATTTGTTATTTTACGTATTGTTAGTACTACTACTATTAGTTTTAGTCATTAGCATTATGAATTTCATTACTATTAGTATCGCAGTATTAAACAAAATTAATTAGACCCGACTTTTGTGACATAAACTATGTTGGTACAGCTACTTAGCCGTAAGTAGAGCTATTGTAATTTGTATTATTGTTAGTATCTACAATTTACAAATACATGTAGACATGTAGAAGTAGAGTTATGGCAAGTTAAGTTATGCAAAGCTTTGACATAGGTTTCAACACTACTATTGCTACTACTAGTACTGGTAGTACTACTGTCCCATATATTAAAAAAAAAAAACCAACAACCATGAAACCAGCCTTGCTAACTTAAATTTTTATCAAGCGTTACCTTGACATTTGTTATATCATAACACAACATAAAATCTAATGATAACAAGGAACCTGTTTTATCCATTAAAGTGACCATTTAAATAATTATCAAGTTTTCTCTTAACCTCTCAGTAATTTATTGCATTCATTGCCATCGAAAGGCCAACCACCATGTAAAAATAAATAAATAAATGTCTTAGGTAAAGTTAATTCTTACCCTAACAAAATTTATATTTGTGTCTACTTGTTCTACCATTCTCACTATTAGGTAGGGAAAAAAAAGATTCACCAATGCTATAAATCCCTTTAATACCTCAATCCAATCCTTACAGACTTTTTTCATGAGGAAACAATTTCAGAGATCATAATTTGAATGCAACCCATTACAAAGACCAACCACCTTGTTAATAAAGGGCAGCTTCCAGGAAAACAAACTGTTTGAGTTCTGGGGGAAATGTGTTTTCAAGGCTGAAATTTCAAGGAATGATGACATTAGGTATGAGCTTGTTTAGAAAAATTGGGAAGTTTAAAGATTTAAACTTCTAAACCAGATAACATTTCTTAAATGGTTTTGAAGGGGGTTAACGATTAAATATGTGAACCACTTGTTAATATTTTTTGTATGTTTGTGAATAATGGGCATGCAGGTAGTGGAAAATCACAGTATCAAAAGTGTAAAGTTTCAATATTTATGTTTTACTCAAAATGTAAAATATCCAAGTAATCAAAATAGTCATTGTGATTTCCCATTATTATTTTTGATTAATTTTAAATTATTTAGTTTGATTTATTTCTGTCGTGACTTTACAAAATAATCAACTAATTGAAACTGTTTTAGATTTAGATTTTTACTATTTTTTGATTGTTTGAACTACGCATGTATCATGTGAGAATAATCATTTATTTGAATGTAATAAATTATGAAATTTAACTAATTGCCTAGCTCTGCTTTATACATGATACTCATACACCTACATAAATTGTTGAAAAAGTTACATACATGATCAGAGATGTAACCAGTCATTTTTGCACCCTGGGCAAGTTTCACGATCTTTCCCTTTTCTTCGTTGAAAAAAAAATGTTGTCAACTGATTCAAAATTTGTGGGCAAAATCTTACTCTGCCCTCTTACTAGAAGCACACACAAAAAAAAGCTTGCAAAACATAACACAAATTAAGGCAAAACAAAAACAAACTACAGCCTTACTTATAATAAACTATTTAAATGAAACAAAACATAGATATTAACTATATCTCTACTTCAAATTAATTTATTTCATGATGGAAAATATCAATTAAATTATTACCCTGTCGAGCATGCTTCCTGTAATGTTTGATAGCCAGCAGAATTTTAGGATGTTTCCCCAAACATTCAGTATGCTATTTCTCGAGTCTTATTTTTCCTTTTCCTAAAAAAAATGTACATATTACAAAACAAATATGTAGCTATAGAGATGGTAAGTACCACAACAATAGAAAATATAAAACTAATTATGATATATGTTATAACCGAAGAACAAGATGACATAGTTGAAGAATAAGGAATGAAGGTGGTAACTTAAGTACCATAACATACTAACTAGTGCATAGTTCTGCATAAATTATTAAATAACAGGCTTATTGCTCAAACTGCCCCCCCCCCCCTTCCAGCAGTGATCTGGGTAACTGTCCCTCCTGCCCTACCCTAACTACGGCTCTGTACAGGATGGATGCTTGATTTTTATGGGTGCATATCTTACAATAATATAATTTTTTACGTAGTCAGCTTTACGTAGCTCCATCCAGGTTATGGTCATTTGATTGGTTAAAATGTATGTTTTTGAAGGTGCAAATATTGAAAATGTTGTTTACAAGGAAGTTTTGTGAACAACTTTTCCAGAATGAATTTGATAGTCTGTATTACAACTGTATGTTTTGTTGAATTTCTACATATTCTACTAGCAGAATAGTATAATTTGGGAAAACAGATGTCTGTCCATCTATTGCATATGAATATCAAGAAGAAGAGAAAAGGAAATTGCAAAAAACTTATGTACAGGTGTAAAACCTACTAAAGATGCATGTTAATTTCTGTGTGTATGTTTTGTTAAAATTTAACAGAACCTTTTTTTTACTGCAAACTGTTTAAATAATAATTTTAATGTAATGCTGTGGCATCAAAATTATTTTTTAAAAGCTGATTTCCAGATTATTGCTTAAGTCATTTTATGCTAATGTCATATTTCAAAGAAAATCCACATGTAATAAGCATGCCTGAACATGTTTTTATTTGAAATTTGAATAGGTTTGCTGTGTATTTTTATAAAATTGTTTACAAGTTCAGTGTTTTGTTAGGTTCTGAGGATTCTGATAACATATGCACAAATATGGGTGACTAATTAAAACATTAGAAGAAAGGATGTTATAAAGTCATTCTGTTGTTGACAAGTGTATAAACAGCAATAACTAATTAAAGCCTTTGAAGGTGGGGTGAGTACTCATGGTATCAACATTGCTGGTGATGGGTTTTAGTTTTAAAAAACTTTTAGAAAAAATATATGTCAAGTATTTGATTTTGCATGGTTAAATAAATACAAATTGATTTAAAAACCACAACTCTACATATTTTGTTGAATTTTGACATATTCTACTAGTAAATGTATACACAGTCACCCGTATGTTTGTAAGTATTTGCATTTTACATCACATAGCAGTGATGAATTCGATAGATAAAGCGATTAATTTCAAAATTATAAGGTCAGCATTTTAATATAACCATGACAGGTGGTTTTTTTTTTTTTACTTTGAGCAATATTTTCTTCTGTGTTTCTTTTGTGAAATGAAACATATGGAAATTCATTTTTAGGTCTGCATAAGTAACAATACAAAAATGGTATTTGTTGTTTACCTTTGTGTAATTGTGCAAAGAATGGTGGTAAGTGGAGACAGACACACTATAGTTTACATATTAGGTTAGGTCTGATTATTATGTAGCTCATCTATATTCAACTTGTATTATTTGACTTCCAAAATGGCCATGTATATAGCTGAAAGTCATGACAGTCACTCGGCTATTTTTATTTGACTGTATCTGTGGCAGTCATGTAGCTATTTTTAAAAAGTCTTAAAATACATTGTTGTCATGCACCTAACTTGTTCAAAAGGCTGTATACTGTTGACTGTTGTCTATGTGGCTATTTGGTTTACCCAAATAACTTTAAGCTAGTAATACTTAAAATTCCAAAATGGTCACATATATTGTCAGAATAATCACTGCCTGTGTGCATGATATACATATCCTTACCCTTTTCTTAAAATTAATGTCTATTTTGTATACTTAAGTTGGAACAGTTTGTAGTCATCTCATTATAAACTTTATAACATTCTAAGGGATTAGATATGGAAAATGTGAATGTGTTGACATCATCATTGAAAATGTTGTACTTGGAGTTGGGTGATATCAATAGAATCTGCTGGTTGATTAATCTTAGTGACCATTAATTGATTACATTCAACTAATCAATTATTCACACATAAGACTAATCTTCCTATTTTCAGCTTGTTTTTTTAAAATATATTTTTAGGATACCCATCTTCAGATACAAGAGATTTAGACTTAACTAATTTTTTAATCTTCAAACTTTTGTGCATGAAAATTTATCATACACACAAAGTAATACAAAACCCATAAATTGAAAATATGATTAAAACCATTTTGTGGGTTTCTTCCTGCAAACTTTAGAGATTACTAGAACTGAATAAACTAATTGTTCATCGAAAAAAATTTGCTTCAGTTTTCATGTTATAAAACTAATATTTTTGTCAAAATGTGCAATAGATAATACATTGTTCAGTGAAAAGAAACACAGTACAACATTTAATATTTTACAAGAAAACTTGTGAGGATAGTACAGGGCCTCTTTGGGGAAACTTAAATCATTTATATGATAGAAGTTGAAGTATTATGAAAAATCTGAAGTATTAAATTTACTGTAATATCAAAAAATTCTTTAACTAAAGAAGTTTTAGAATTTTTTGTAATTCTATCATCAGTGTGAAATACATAAAAATAACTTTGTAAGTATAAAAACATTACAAGTTTTTAAGCAAAAAGTTGTTGTCAAGAATGGAAGTTTAGAAATAACACATTAAAATGATCAATACATTTATATTTTACAGTACAGGCTTAAAGAAACTGTAGCAACACACGTGCACAGTGAGAGATCAATAAATCTAACAACTTGAAGTTTACTTCACTTGGCAGTGTTTAAACAGCATATGACAACAACCAGACTTTTGTTTTCCTTTTCAATGCTGTTTGTCTCACTAGACCTAGTCATATATAAACAGTAGTACTTTTCATGGAAATAAGTTATTGATTTAATAGCGTTATACTGTTATTAACCTATGTATAGTAACTTCTGATACACACAGTGAAATGAGGAAATTATTCAGCATACAAAATTATTTCTACCAAATAAAGAATAGTGTTTGTTTGTAGTTTGTAGTTTGTTTGTGCTATCTTTGCTCAGCCCACCACAGGTATCGAAACCCGGTTTCTAGCATTGTAAGTCTGCAGACATACCGCTGTGCCACTGGGAGGCAAAGAGTAGTGAATATTAACTTGCCATAACTTTTTTTTATCTGGTTACATGTGTAGCTTGTTAATAAGCAAGCAATATATTAATTTAAAGATACCTATCATTTATCCAAGTTAGATAAACATGTATCACTATGGCTAGAACTTTATGTAATCAATGGCCACTAGGTCACATCCTTACTATCGTGAACAGTAGTAGTACTAGCAGTCTTGTTTTCAGTTGGTATGTATTTAAAGCTGAACAATAATATTTATGGTGTGAACCAGATAAATCAAGTAAAATGTAGTTATCGTGAATATAACATACATAGTAGTGGTTTGGGCAATATATTTATATCAGTTTTCATTAACAATAATGTTTATGGTGTGGACCAGATAAATCAATTAAAATGTAGTTATCGTGGAATATAACAGATATAGTAGTGGTTTGGGCAATATATATATCAGTTTTCATTAACAATAATATTTATAGTGTGAACCAGATAAATCAATTAAAATGTAGTTATCGTGAGATATAACAGACATAATAGTGGTTTGGGAAATATATATATATATATCAGTTTTCATTAACAATAATGTTTATGGTGTGAACCAGATAAATCAATTAAAATGTAGTTATCGTTAGATATAACATACATAGTAGTGGTTTGGGCAATATATATATATCAATTTTCATTAACAATAATATTTATGGTGTGAACCAGATAAATCAAACGAAATGTAATTATCATTAACAATTTTAGTTAATAGTTTAGAAATCAGAGTTTTGGGGTAAGAATTAATAATGCAACATTATTTATTTTATTTTTACTTTTTTAACATTATTTTTTGTTATTATTATTATCTTATTTTAATTAACTTTACTGTTATTCACAAGAACTGGTGGATCAACAAGATAGTTTTGTTCCCAGAGCAGGTCAAACAACCACAATGTCAATAAGATGCTGTGGAAGAGTGTGATCATGTGCTTGTTTAGTCCCCTGAAACGGGCATCGCAGTCCTGTGTGCTCATTAGAGCTTGGTGATTAAACTGATAAATAAATTACCTTTTATCAACCAGTTGCCTTCCCTCTATTCAACAGTTTATGATGAATAAATTACCTTTTATCAACCAGTTGCCTTCCCTCTATTCAACAGTTTATGATGAATAAATTACCTTTTATCAACCAGTTGCCTTCTCTCTAGTCAGTAGTTCAAAAAGAAATAAATAAAAGGGGGCGTTGGGTGTTGCCAGATAGTTTCCTTTCCTTTTGCCATCAACAAGGTTGTCATAAGTGAAGAAATACCCTACTGAAAAGAATGCCTTCTTTCTGAGTGTCCTATAGGTTCAGCATTTTCTTTTTACGAAACTGGTGTAATTCACTCATTCTCCATGCACTTCAGTTCTAAAAATTAATTTCCAATTTTGGATTCTACTCTGACTGTGCTTGGCTCCAGTTTTTTTTTCTTTTTTCACATTCTAAATAACTTATCTTCCTACACTGTAATTGTGTTTTTTTAGTTCCCTACTAGGTACCTATTTGAAATTCATTTTAATTCTAAAACTGTGAAAATTAAGCTACTCATCCGTTTAAGGTCTGTGAGATTGTTCTTGTGAGGTGAATCTTGTTTACATATCATATTAAATCAAATTTGCCACCTGTTGATATTTTTTGATGTTCATTTGGATTACATTTTCCAACTGGCACGTGGAAATTACCAAGTATGTTCTCATCACTGGTGGCATCTTCTCATGCCACTTTAAAGGATATGGTTCCAATTGAAATTTGGAGCTTACCAGTATTCTCTTTTACTTTTATTTTCACTTTGTTATAATTTGATCAACAAAATGAATTTCACTTGCAAACCTTGGTGATTTTAAAAATGTGTTCATGTATTTAATGATGGGAATCCTTTGATACACAGTAAAAATCTAATGATGCATTTCATAACTCTTGTGTCTAAATGCTGTCTTGGTGCTTGGTGAGGAAGCTTCACACTCAGCACTCAGAATGTGTCTCTTAATCTGTTTACTTTTTTGTGGATATTGTCTTCATAAGGATAGCACCCATTGTAATAATTTAATAGTTGCAATGACTGAGTTATTGCTGTCAGTAGGTGTTTGCCACTGTTTATCATCTCTGTTTGGGTGGTATTTTTTATGGTAGTTCTTATGTTGACTGTGAGTTGTGTGAGATAAAGGTAAAAATGGAACCTAACATGGCTACCATCTCAGGTCCCTGTTCCTAACAATTGTGAATGTTCACAGGTAAGTGCTTTTTTGAGTTATAATTTAATGATAAAAATTTTGATTTTTAGTTCAAGTAAAATTCTACAATACTATTTTAAAACTATAAAAAAACATTTGATTTTTCTTTCAGATAACCCAACCTAAAGAAAACCTTGTTACGTGTATAATTTATATAATTTTGAAACTTATGTCCCATATGCCAACTCGACCAGCACCTCAACCTCCTGTATCTCGAATTACTCGTAATGGGTAAGTTGCCATAACTATTTATCCCGACAATTATTTTTTGTTTACAATTTTTTTTTCTGTTTAGTTTTCTGTGTTTTTAGATGGCCATTTCAGGTGTGTGAGACTCAAAGATAACCTTCTTGATTTAGCTGGTCATTTATAAGTATTTGTACACATTATTGGTTTCTATTAATACAGGTAGTCTTATAAGAGTTGAAAAAATCTTAGGTTCTCACAGTTTTTTAAAAAGGTGTTTGAACTGGAAAATATATATACATGTGTTAGAAAACAGGCAAAGTGGCATTAGGGGGAATGTTTTGAATACTTTTTAAGAAGTAACATAATTTAAATTTTTTCCCAGCTTATGAAACTTGAAAATAGAGGATTTTGTACTTTTGTGCAATTGTGAAAAACAAAAAATAAATTAAGGGGAGTAAAAACATTTAAAAAATATTAACAAAGGATGTGTGTACACTTTCTTCTGATAAGTACATAGCTGAAGGAATCCTAGTCTGTTTTATTGTTTACTCATGTGAAATATTTTGCATTTTGCTATTTTACAAAATTACTAATATCTGTAATTAATAAAGGTAGAAAATATTCCACATACATGCAACCATACTGATGATTAATTTGGGTTATCTACATAGGAACATCAATATCAATGGTAATGATAAAATGATTAATGTGCGAGTCTTCCAGTCCCATCCTTCTGCAGTCCAATATCAATGGTAATGATATAAGGATTAATGTGCGAGTCTTCCAGTCCCATCCTTCTGCAGTCCAATATCAATGGTAATGATATAAGGATTAATGTGCGAGTCTTCCAGTCCCATCCTTCTGCAGTCCAATATCAATGGTATGAACAATATACTGAAACAATGCTGCTCTCCTGCTCTTTACATGCTTTCCAAGCATATTTGGGTCTGTTTGAGAATCCAAAGGCACAGAACTCCATAAGAACTGGCACGTTGACTATAACATGTGTCCGGATGCTTTGTCTTGATTCGTCTAATTTGAAATCCAGCCCACACAATTTTTCCCCATGGTGTAATGATTATCAATAGATCAGATCGATGGCATTCAGAGTTAACCTTGACATTTTTCTTGAATGTCTAGATGTATAACTTACCATTATAGCTGTAACTTGTTACCATAAATGTGACATGTTCTCTACCATATTTGAAATATGTCACTGGCAGGATAATAATAAATTTCCCAGACTTTGTTGCAGACACTTAAGTAGACATATGCTTCATCCACTTTAGAGACATACTCCCATTTGTGACATTCCTTATATTGGTTGTTCAATTTTATGCAGTTAATTCTTTCTCTTGGCTTTGTGCTTTAAGAGAATGTTGTGAAAATGGCTGTTGTTAAACTTTTGTAGACCTAAATCTGTTTGAATTATCTTTTAGCAATTTCATGGGAGGTTCAAACTTTAGCTGCAATGTTCTTAGATTATTTCTGGTAACAAGCTGTTTAACTTTCTTCACTATCTTTGGTGTCCAGTCACTGGTATCATGCTTCATTGATACTGCTAAACACAACAAATATTCCTTTCTTTGAAATCCTGAAATTTCATCATTTTATGCTTTTACAATCATTGAATAGGATAACTTTGCATCATAAAGTCCTATGATGTGACTTCAAGAATGTGTAAGTTTTAAGCACCACCTGTGCTTGCATATCACCACATTTAAACTGAATAACAACAGTCAAGGGCTTTTAAATTGTATAGTTCAGAAACCATGGGGATGGCCATGAGCAAGATGACAGGATGTGCAAATTGTTAACAAAACTGTGAACAGCTCTCTGTTCATTTACAACAGAATGGTGGATAACATAGCAATGACAAAAGAAAACTTGTTACTGATACATGTACAATTCATATGTTACAGAATAAAATTAATTTTTGTGTTAAATATTTCTAAATATAACTTGTATCTTACAAAAATTCAAGAATGTAGGTCTATTAATTGTTTTTTTTAAACTTTATAAACAACCCGTTCTTATCAGTTTAATACTTGATTCATCTCCAGATGCTAATTTAAGGTTCTTATTTAGTTATCTAACAATGATGTTTCAGAAAAAAAAAACTTAATATTCTTGTATTTCAGAAAATATTAATGGTTTACTATATATGTGAAAATAATGAATAGAACAAACTGGGTTTCATCACATGCCATTTACTACCTTTATACACTAGGAGATTGAAATATGGATGTGGTAGGGAGTTTTCAAGTCACTGATGTCGGTTTTCTAAATCATTAATAAAGCATATTTCCTTGAAAAATATAGAGGATAAACAGGTAAAGTTCCTTAAAGAAAAATGTACTGAGGTTGCACAAAAGTAAACTTTATTTTAGAATTTTAAATAAACTTTTTCATTGGAAGTGATGGTTTCATAAAATCTCTCTGGTCTTGCTGCATGCTAGAAGTCACTACAAAACAAATTATTTTTTTAAATTCCGTTTATCTCGAGTTTCTTTAAACAGTGAATGTAAAGAGAAATACATTTAGTTTTGTTTGTATGAGATTTTTCATAAGTTTTTTTTTTTTTTTCTAGATCTGTTCCATCATTCAAATCATATGATACCAACAACAATAATAATCAGGTAAAATACTTTAAATTGTCCATAAAGTTATTTGAGAGCTTACAGATTGGTTTTGATAATATTTAAATGAAATAAAGATAAAGCTAGGTTAACAAGGGCAAACCTGTATAAAACTGCAAATCATAACACTGATGGATAAACAAGATAGTTATTATGCAATGTACTCTACATAAGCTAACTAAAATATTAAACTTACACTTCCATACACAAGGCTAACTAAAATATTAAACTTACACTTCCATACACAAGGCTAACTAAAATATTAAACTTACACTTCCATACACAAGGCTAACTAAAATATTAAACTTACACTTCCATACACAAGG